TTTTTTTAGGAGACTGAAATGAGCAGGTTTCTAAGAGCTTGCCTTCAGCTGGATGCAGGAAGAGCACCATGAACTTGCCTCTCTGTTCAGGTTTACATGTGAACATGATCACGGAGCCCAGTCAGGCTCCCTGGCCCAAAGTTTGCCAGGGTGGAGGATGCCAGGATTCCAGAAAACAGGACCAACTACTCCTGAGTTTAATTTCAGATCCCAACGACAGCTTGGTGCTTGTGGGATCACTGTAGCCCTTTATCTCTTCATTAAAACCTCTGGGTGGAATATGCATGGCTATTTACTGTGGAAACACCACATTTTTACTCCAAGGACGCGTTTTTTAGGGTCTACTAATGACCCTGATCTACTGCAACAGGAAGGAGACTTGTCCTGGATCCAGGCTCTTGGCAGCAGGTACTGCTTCTGTATTATCTGTGCATCTCCCAACAAACCCCCGAATGTGTGGGTGCATCTACACAGAAATGATGAACAATAAAGCAAGAAGGAAAAAGAGTAGGCGAGAGAGTACAGAGGAGAGGGAAGCTTTCACATACCGAGGGGGAAGAACAGGATCAGCAGGGGAGGAGTAACACTGTGAAGCCTGGAAAGAAATGAAGCCTTTTTGCCAAGGTGGTCTGTCTGGAGAAAGCAAATGCCTGTGCAACTTTGCAAAGAAAAGGTGATGCATTTTAGGGCAAGGCTTCAAAGAAATGGTGCTGCAAGGAGATAAGATTAAATTCCTGCAACTCATTCAGAAAGGAGGTGATGGGGAGCAAGCTGTCTCGCCCGCGTGTAATTGCTGGGTAGGCATGATTGGATTTTGGAAAGGAATGTGGGATGCCATTCATTTTTTTTTCCCCTCTGTTTCTGCAAAAGCAGGAGTGGGACCATCTGCGCTTTCATACCTGATCCTCCAGGTTTGGGCATGTCCACATGGGAATTTATTGGCAAACGGTCCGCGTGATTCCAGCAGGAGCCTTGTGCCTCTCAGCACCAGTGGGGTCCCATCCTGTCCTTCGCCTGCGTCCTTTTCTCTGGCATTGTGTAGTTCACCTGAAAGCATGGGATGTTTTCCCACTGTTCTCTGCTCCAAGGACAATGTCCCAGTGCCGTCCCCAGCGTGTCCGGCGGCTCCGGCACGTGCGGCGCGGGGACCCCGCGGCTGCATCGTCCCCCTCCCCACCGCTGCCTCCTACAAAAGAGCAAGGGGCGCTTGGAGGGGCTGATTTGCCGGAGGCAGCGGAGCGAGAGGGAAGGGCTTGTGTCTTTTCTGGCTTTCTGTCCTCCTTAATTGGTGAATGGCAGGGCAAATCATGCCTTAAAGTAATCGCATTGAACACCAAGAGCCAGGCACAGCCAGGAGCGGGGAGGATGGAAATTGCATGGAAAATACAGCATTGGGAAAGGCTTTGGGAAAGAGGTGCCTGCAGCCATGGACGGATACAAGGGCAAGTTAGTCCCCCCAATTTGGAGGTGCCCTGAAAGTGCAGCACAAGCCTGAGCCCTTGGCTAGCTGGGATGTGCTTGGTTTGCTTCCCCGAGCCCTGACTTGCCAGCAGCCTGGCTGCCTTCAGAGACTTCTGCTTTCTGCTATTGCTGTGCAGCAAATGCCAACTCCTCCACGACTTTCAGAACGGTCGTTTTTAAATCAAAAGAGGGAAGAAGAAATAAAAAAGGTATAACCCAGCCCTCTGAGGCATGCGTGGGAGGGCTGGGGTTGATTGAAACCCTCCTGCCAAGAGGCTGGAAAGTCCCACCTTGCTCCCGCCAGCGTTTCTCTTGGCTTCTGCAGGCACCCAAGAAACCCCAGGAGCATCCAGAAAAAGGGCCTGGCTGCTCCCCTGGCCACATCCCTGCATCCCTGCGTGCCAGAGGGCCTGGCTCCCCCGAGCCGCATCCGCCCACCGCCGCTACCTGTTTAAGGAGCCAAAGCTCCATAGGTGCATGTAAATATGATATCTGCTTTCCTCTCTCCTGCTCGCACATGTTGAATGCTGTCTCTGGGTTGCTGGCAGCTCTTATTCGGTGATGCTGCCTCTCTTTTGCAGGCACATGCACACAAGCATGGGGTTGGGACAGGCTCTCTGCAGCTCTTCCTCCTGCTCCGGACACATCCTGCGTCTTCCCCTCTGGAAATGAATGAAACCAAAGGCGTTGAAGGATTGAAGTAGATACTCTGGCTTTTCTTTGACACTTAATCAACCTAAGGGCCTTGAGGCAAAGCGAAAAACACTTTGCAGGGTGCATTTAAGCAGCCTGTCGGGCAAAACCCTCCAGAGCAGGTCTGAAATGGGCTATGGGTGAGATAGGCTGGCGAAACACAGAGGTGTTCGCAAAGAGGTGCCAGGCTCCAGGATGAGCCCGGCTCCCGGAGGCTCCTTCCTATCCATTTCCCTGCAGGCTGCGAGCCCTGTCCCCATCCTGGCACATGCCTTTTCTCCTTGCGCATCCCTTGGTGCTCTGTCAGGGATAGCAGGATCCCAAAGCAGCACACATCCGAGGAGGAGAGCTGGCACGCTGCACCGGGGCCCTGGAGAATGAAAGCTTTTTCTATTTCTAAAAAGCTATTTTGCATCCAGCAGAGAGCAGAAACGTTTCCGATTATTCACATTCCTAAAGTGACTCAGCCACCAAACAATTCCCCTTTCTCTCTCATCTTCCTGTGCAATCTGGATTTAGCTCATTTTGAGTATGCTCTAATTTCTGCCTACCAGCAGCTCTTCCCCCTTCTCCCCACCTCACCCCTTAATTATCCAGATGGAAGGTGCATCTCCATTATAACCCTGCCACAGGGCACCAAGCATCGCAAAGGCCATGAAGAAATGGGCTGTTTTTTTCCCCTCCTATAGCAGAGAATTAACAGAGAGCACTGCAAACCCCTGAACCATAATCACAATCCTTAGCACATACGTTACGCCTCTCCTGAAGTGCTGCATAGACCTTAAGCGTAACTGAGCATCGCGGCATCCCTTTCCATGGGGGTTAAGGGCAGCAATGAAAATCGGAGAGAAATCAGGGAGGGATGAGATGATGCAGAAGAGGTTAAGGCAGCTGCCAGTGTGACAACCAGGGCCATTGGTGCCGCACGAGCACAGGCACTTGATGAAATTTGTACCTACTCCCTATTAAGCACCCAAATATCACTAAAAAAATATTCCTCCCATTTTTAAAAATATTCCCATTAAAAAAATATTCCTACCTCCTTATTTTTAATTAAGGGCTCAGATTCCTTGGGAGTCACATAACCCTAGCCGGCCTCATTCATGCACACCCCAAGATGCACCCGAGAGCGCTTTGGGCTCAGCCGCCTCAAGGTCCTTTCCCTATGGATCGGGAAGGCCGGGAACGGCGCCACAGAGGTGCTGGGCAACTCCCGGGAGGCTCCCGGAATATTCCTACCTCCTTATTTTTAATTAAGGGCTCAGATTCCTTGGGAGTCACATAACCCTAGCCGGCCTCATTCATGCACACCCCAAGATGCACCCGAGAGCGCTTTGGGCTCAGCCGCCTCAAGGTCCTTTCCCTATGGATCGGGAAGGCCGGGAACGGCGCCACAGAGGTGCTGGGCAACTCCCGGGAGGCTCCCGGAGCCTTTCCCAGCAGCGGGGGGAAAACCCAGCTCTTTC